GGAGGAAGAAAAGAGCATAGTGCTGCACTTTCAGTCTATGTTAATGGGGATCACAATTTATTACAAACACTAAACAAAGCAATAGAGACAATGGGTGGAAATGTAAGCATCTATGAAGACCACTTCCACTTCAAGTCTCTTCATTTCCTGCTGATGGACTCCATGAGGCTGCTGAAGCCAAAGGAGTGCAAGAACTTTTATGTTTTTCAAGATGGTCAAAACCAACCAAAGAAAGGCTCCACAGTGAGATTTCCAAGTTTCACCTTAGCTTATTCAGACTATGAAGAGCTGAAGAGATTTGAAGATGTCAATGAGAATACTATTTTAAATCTCACTTCTTGCTTCTTTGTCAACCTGAAAGACTATGTGTGCGATCAAGAACAGGATGAAATACTCTTATCTCCAGCAGAAGTTTTCACTGTGGAACAAGTGAAAACAAAAACTACATCGGATGGTGATGAATACCTTGAGATTGATTTAAGCCACTCAGGACTGAAAAGCTCACACAACTGTTACATCTTTCCATGGTAAGATTCATATTCTCTCAATTAAAGTGAACATTTTTCTTATCTTACAAATATTAAACTTGAAACTGCAAAGTTAACTTTAAATGTAATGTTAAATATATAAATATGTTTTTTTTTGTTGGTTTTTATGGAGTAAGTACACAGTAATAACTGGGGGGAAAAGTGGCAAAAACAGGGACGATACTTCTCCAGTGGAGTTGGGTGTGGTTTGAATAGTTTGGCCTGATAATGTGTCAGCACATTTTACTTAAAGTATTTTCTTCTGCTTATCCAATTCAGGAGGTCAGGAGGGCAAGAGACTACCACAGCTGTCACAGAGCAAGTCAGGTAAACTATTATTATTATTATTGTTATTATTATTATGATTGCTGTTATTATCTGTTGATTTATTTCTTCTTTTCCAATGTAGTCTTCCAGGAGGGCAGAAAACTACCACAACTGTCACACAGCAAGTCAGGTAAATTATTATTATTATTATTATTATTATTATTATTATTATTATTATTATTATTATTATTATTATTATTATTATTATTATCCA